GGACGGAAATTTTGTAAGGAGGGAGGATTGTAATATCCCGATATTTTATCGGTATAGATTATGTTTTAGTTCCGATATAATAACGTTATCGTTTATTATTTTTGGAATTAATTATATTCAGTCGAGATTACCGAAATTTAATTTCGACGTACCATTTACGTCTGAAATAATTTTTGTAATTAAGCATTATGTTTAATTAAATAATTAAACATAAATCTAGTGATTAATGTCAATTAATTCTCTTATTAGGGCACAAAACCGTGACTTATGTGCCATTTTCCCTAAATTGCTTCAATTGCCGTAAGCTTATATCATTAATTAGAATTACCTCAATTAATCAAAGCTTTCTTCATGAGTAAGGAAAGTTTATATGCTTAGTTCATACCAATTCATTTCATGAGCTAGCAAGTGTCAAAAGCTTGAGGTGGCCACGCCACACCCATGTCATCACCACCTTTCCTCTCGGCATCAATATATAAATGAGGGACTTTAGCGAATTTTCCCCACTTTCCTTAATACAAATTCAGCAGCAAGTAGTTCCCTTCTTCAGCAACCACTAAGTCCCAATAATTTCCCAAAATTTCCCATAAAGTGCACGACATCTATTATATAAGAAGCATTTGATCAAAAATTTTCTCCACTTTTCCTAAGGGATATTCAGAATATATGTCTTCTTCCCAACAGCCACTAAACTCAAGCAAATCTCCCTAAATTTTCCCTCAAATCGCACGGCAAAGAAAGCGGAAACGCTCGGCGCACGCAAGGGCCAAGGATCACGCCCTATTTTCCAATTCCGTCGAACGTTTCGAGAGGTAATCTTCCTTTCTTGTTAGAATCATGTTAGTAAGGTTATTTCAGAGTTAAGTGTTCGGATTATATTCGAAAATTTCAAGTAAAGTCATGCCTAAGTCCGAATATGCTTAAGTAAGATTACGACCGAACAACTTCCGATTTTTCCCAGCAACTCCCGAACTGTTGATGTTTATATGTTTAGTTTAGTCTATTTCATGTTCATTATGATCAGATTTGTCGAGGCAAAATGAGATTT